GTGTCTGCGGGGAAGCCCCAGCTGCTCTGAGCAGACACCCAGGACCAGCCCCCCGGAGCACTGCCATCGCCACAGCGTGGCGGGGGTGGGGGGTGGGGTGCCAGGGACTCACTGAGAGGGCAGAGCAACCCCTCCCAGAACCACTCAGGCCTTGAGAGGAGGTAGCAGCCCACAGGGAGGGCAATGAGGACAGGAGGCAGGGGTCCTGGGCAGAATCAGCCAGGCCGCCCCTCCCTTCAGGGCTGCCTGCCTGCCACCCTCTCATCCCCTTCCCACTTCTGCCAAGATGATATGGCCATGCGGGCATGGAGGGATGTGCTGAAGAGGCCGCATGCACCCGCCTGGCAGCCTCTCCCCGGCCCCGAGTGCAGCGCACAGCACCCCAGCCCGGGCCGCCCACTGCCCACCAGGCCAAGCAGCTCTTGGGCCACGGCCTGACAGCAGAAGGTGGACGGGGACCGTGGGTCCCAGGGGGAGCAGAGCCAGCGCAGGCCCAGGGGGCCCCGCTGCCCAGCGTACCTTCCTTGGAGGGGAGGTAGGCACGGCCGGGAGGCAGACAGCACGGCCGGTGCTTGGTAACCGGCATCAGCCCCTTGTTGGGAGTCTTCTTCGTAACGGGGCTGCTCTTTCCCCGGAGGGCCTGCTTCCGCCGCAGGCTGAACTGACTCTTAGCCATGGCAGCAGGTGGGGGGCTGCTCTTCTTGTCCCCAGGAAGGCTGCAGAGACAAAGCAGGTAGCTCTAACAGGCACCCTCCCTATCTCGCCCACCCAGATCCCAGAACCAAGGGATCAGCCCTGGCAGGCAGCCAAGCCCCAGCAGGGTCTGGCCCCCCGACTTCGCTTTCCCACCTGATCGATCTCAGCAGCTCGCTGCCCATCCAACCCCCCGCCAACCCAACCCACCCACCCTACCCCACCAGGCTCCCAGCCGCAGCCCTGGAGGACCCCAGAGCCAGGGCAGGTGGAGGGCGGAGGAGCGCAGCCCTTGACCCCCACCAGGTGTTTCCAGGACCACCTTCTCCACCTCCCTGGACAGATGAAATGAGCCCCCACGTAGAACTGGGGGAGAAGCAGAGGAGGCAGGCGTTGTCCCAAGGAGGAGCTGCCACCAGCCTCATGGCTCCCCTCTCCACACTCACTGACACAGAGGCTGCCAGAGAGAAAATGCGAAGAAAGGAGAGCATGGAACCCAAGTGGTCCAAGATGGCACCTATCCAGGAAAGCAGGGCCCAAGGTCAAGGTCAGCAGTGGGAAGGACCTCTAGAGTGGGACATCAGGCATGTGTCACCATGCCTGATGGCAGAGGCATCTGGCAGCCTCCACAATTAAGCCCCTGACCCTGAAGCCCTGGGCCACCATGCCATCTTCCAGCCTCCTCTGGACCTAAGTGGGTAGAAGGCGGGGAAGCTGACATGCCTTCGGTGAGGGAGTGAGTCACTGTCACCTGGCCACCTTTCTCCCGCAGAGACCCTGCCCCTAGCCTGGGCACAAAGCTGTCCATCCACCATCCCGCGAGCCCAGAACAGAAGCCACCCCAGCAGCTTCTGGTCTCTCGCCAACAAGGGAAAGGGAGGGCTTGCTGGCGCCACCTCTGCCCATCCCCTCCCCATAAACTGAAAAGGACAGCAGTAACCGCGGCCTCATTCCTGCCGGACATGCTGACGCACCACAGGCCAAGCTCCATCCTCAGGCCCCATCAGGGGCGATGCTTCCTCCCTGCCTCCCACACCCCTGCCCAGACAAGACCCGGGGGGGTGGGGGCAGGGACCAGCACCTGGCACTGCCCCGCCTCCGGATGATCTTGGTGCGGCTCTTCACTTTGTAAGCTGAGAGCGGGGTCTCACTGAAGACAGGCTGCAAGCTGCTGGGTTCCACTGCCTGTCTGTCCACTGGGGGAGACTTAGACGGGATGGGGGAGAGTTGGGCGGCACAGTCCTTGCTGCCAACCTCTGACTGCCAACGGAAGGAGGAGGCCGAGGAGGCCGAGGGGCTGGAGGCCTTCCACTTGTACTTGCTGGGGGAGGCCCCAGGCACGGAGGACATGGCAGACCTCCTGGGCTTGGCGTCTGGGTCGGCTCTGAGCTGCGGCTTCTCTGTTCGTTCTGCTGCAGCAAAGGGGGCCTTGCACACGTTCTCCGCCACCGCCCTGGGACTGAGAGCTCGCCGAGAGGCCCGAGGACCCTTCGCCGAGGCAGCCACCCACTTGTAGTCGTTCTTCCGGAACTTGTTGGTTCGACAGGACGCCAGCATCAAGGGCTCCCTGGTCTGCCTGGGTCCAACAGCAGGTCTAGCTGGGTCTACCACCAGGCCAGAGGCAGCGGACGGACCTGAGAGGCTGGTGTTCACGGTCCCGTTCCCACGGAGCTGTGTAACACAGCTGGCCACAGAGTGCGAGCCCGCTTTCCGGCCTAGGGCCATGCTGCCTCGCTGCGGCAGGCTGGAGGGCAGGAAGCAGGACTTTATCGCAATTGCACTCTCACTGACTGTCTGCCGGGGCTCCAAGGGGCTCTCACTCATGCTGCTCATTGACTTCACTACCCGGGGCTTGCCAGGCTCCTTCTGGCAGACGAGAACGGGGTCCTCTGAGCTGCAGCTCCCCTTGGCTCTTCCTTGCCTGGAGGGCTGCCGCTGCCCACCGGGGGGCTCACCCTCACCTTCCTGAGGCCTGTGGTCACTCCAGGGGGTGTCCTCGTATTCTTCCAAGGAGGTCCGCAGGAACCCCGCAGTGCTGGTCGAGCCTGGCTTGGACGGTGGTTTGATCTTGATGACCATGTTCTGATCTGGACTGAGCTGCACTTGCCTCTCCAGGACGTACTGCTGCGGTTCAGGACCCTGGCTGCCCCCGGCCCTGAGCGGCGGCTGCATGGCACCATCGCCGGGCGGGTCCGAGGAGCCCAGGGGCCGATTCACGAGGGAGTATTTCTTGCGCCACGCAGGCCCATGGTTTGCAGAGAAGCCCCTCCGGCTCGGACGAGGGTAGTGAGCACCAAAGATCCTGCTGCTGTTGTAAGTGGGCGGCTGCCACTGGGATGTGGCGGAGGTGCCCAGGGCGGCGGAGGTGCCCGGGGCAGAGGCACTGCCATGGAGGCTTTTGTAGTCATCGATCAGACCTGAGGAGGCAGGAGCATAGACTCTGTCAACCGGAGGGTGAGGAAAATCAGGGAGAATCCCCTGGAGGGACATCAGCTGACCAGACACCATGTAAACCCCACTGGATCCTGCCAAGTCCCAGTACAGGAGGGGCAGCCCCAGGGCCTGAGAAACACTGACAGTCAGCCTAAATCCCTCAGGCCAATCTTTCCCATGAGCCTCTTCCCATCAATTCTACTTCAATTCTATTTCTAGCTGCTTATCCTTAAAATGCACCCCTGTGGCATAATATTCCCTATTCACCAGAGATATTATGCTGGATTCACAATCCTCTGAGGCGAAGTGTCACCCAGCATGAAGAGACCAGCAAGGCCCATGCTGCAGCGCCTCAAGAGAGACACGGAAGTCCTCTGGCTTGCCCACAAATACAAAGGGGGCAGGGCTGCACCTTCATGACCTCCCTGCCTGGCACACACAACAGCAAGTGTAAGATAACTGACACCCTGGGTACTCACATGTGACAAGAATGTCACATCATCCTTCCACAAGAAAAGAGGTCTAACATTTGGAGTTCCAGTGCAGGGGACCACTAGGTGCCTTTCCAAGGAAGCCCCTGGACAGCGCTGTGCAGGCAGACACAGGCCTCAGCTGGAACCACCCAAGCTGTCACAACTCAGCCAACAAGCCCTCCAGTTACAGCACTCCCCCACCATATGTCCCACCCCCAGGCCCAAAGAGAGTCACGTCCAGACCTGGTGACACCTCAGGACAGGTATGATAGAGGACCAGGAAGTGGCTGGTAGATGGGCTCAGCACAACTGAACTCTTCCCAATACACACTTCCCAGTTCTTAAGTCTTCTCTTTGTGGGAAGAACCTTTAAAACGATTTAAAAAAAAAAAATACAGCAAGCCATCTCTCATGATTCAGTTGTAAAGAATCCATGTGCCAATGCAGGAGACACAGGAGATGCAGGTTCAATCCCTGGGTCGAGAAGATCTCCTGGAGAAGGAAATGGCAACCCATTTCCTTCAAAGTCCTGGCAGACTACAGTCCATATGTGCTCAGTCGCTTCAGTCGTGTCCGACTCATTGACCATAGCCTGCCAGGCTCCTCTGTCCATGGAACTCTCCAGGCAAGAATACTGGAGTGGGTTGCCATGCCCTCCTCCAGGGGATCTTCCCCACCCAGGGACCGAACCCGTGTCTCCTGTGCCTCCTGCACCGCAGGCGGGTTCTTCACCGCTTGAGACATGGGGCAGCCCCGAGCTATGGTCACTGAGGTCGCAAAAGAGTCAGACACGACTTAACGACTGAACAACATGCCGTCTTAGGTCTAAAAATGGAAAAGTTTGGAAAAATCTGAAGGTCGGGGATTCTGGGCCAGGAATATAAAGGAGAATGTGGCTGTTAAGGACGGACAAAGGCGTCAAAACCGGGCGTACGGGGAAGAAATACACACCCCTGGCCCCGAGCGAGGGAGCGCGCCGGGGGCGCCGAGGCCGCGCACGCCCGCGGCGGCAGGGAGGGTCGCTTTCCCCCGGTTACTAAGCGACAGCCAGGCCGCCAGCGGCCGCAGCGCCGGTAACGCTCGCACCCGCCGCGGAAACCCGAGCGGGGCTGAGCTGGCCCAGCCGGGAATGCTCCTCAGGGACCCCAGGACCCGGCCCGACCCCACCCACCTCCCCACCGACCGGACCCGGCCTCCAACCCACGGCGGGAGCGGCCCCCTTCGGGGAGGCAGGCAGGGGCCCTCTGTGAAGCGAGGGATAGGAAGGGGACGCGCGACCCCGGCCCGGCGCGACCCACCCTGTAGGAGGCGGATCTGCCGCCGTAATTGCTCCTTTTCCTCCATCTCCGGAGTCCGCGACGCCCAGCCAGGCCCCCGCGACGTCATCGCCGGGCGACCGTTTTACCGCGTGCGGGGCGGAGCGCTGGGAGGCACCGCGACTGCGCACTGCAGCCGGGCCCCGGGCGACCGACGGCCGGAAGTGGGGCCTCGGTAGACGTGCGGCCTCGGGAGACGTGCGCCCACGCTCTGGCTGCGCCTGGAGGGGCGGGGTCACACACGCGCAGTGCTGGGTCGGAGGTCACGTCACTACGGAGCGCCGGGAAGTCACCTTTCGGCGCCTGCGGAGGGGACGCTGCGGCGGAAGGTCTGCGCTCTGAGGCGTTCTGGCCGGGTTCTTCGCCGAGAGCGTTCGTTCCCTGTGGGTCCGGGGCGAGGGGCAGAGCCGGGTACTCCACGCTATCCACAGCGCAGGTCCTTCCGCGTCGAGTTAGGCTCTGGGGCCTCTGCGGGAGTGAGCCGGCGCGGCGAGGGTCCGTGCGACTCTGTTGTGGGGCGGCCCGGGACAAGGGAAGGGACGTCCAGGTTCGAGAGGCACTGCAGGGACGCGTTAAACCTCTGAAAGCGTGAAAGACTGTGCTGTTTCGGTAGAAACAAGTATGAAAACAGGTGTGTACATCCCTGTATAGAGCTGGGGGGTGTGAAATGATATGGCCGCTGTGGAAAACTAATGTTTCCTCAGAAAGTTAAAAATAGACGCTTTGACCCAGCAGTCAAATACTTCGGGGTATATACCCTGAAGAAGTGAGTACAGGGACTGGAACATACTCGTGCGCCAACATTGGGTGAAGCATTATTTGCCATGACAAAATGTAGAAATAGCCCAAGTGCCCATGAGGGTGAATGGATAAGCGGTGTGTATCTGTACGATGGAATAGGATTTAGCCCTGAAAAGGAATGTAGGACTGGTCCGTGATACAGCGTAAACGAATCTCAAAAACAGTAAATGAAATAAGCCAGCCACAAAAGACAAATATGATAAGATTTCACTTGCATGACATATCTTGAATAGGAAAATTTGTAGAAACATCAGAGGTTAGGAAGGGTTGAGGGGAGGAGAAACAGGGAATGAATGCATTTTGGCTAGGGAGTTTATGTTTGCAGTAATGAGAAAGTTTTGGAAACATATAGTGGTGATGGTTGCACAACGTTGTGAATCTCCTTAATCCACCGAATTGGACACTTAAAAATGACGATATGAGGACTCCCCTGATGGGCCAGTGCCTGAGACTCCAGTCTTCCTACGCAGGGTGCCTGGCTGCGGTCTCCAGTCAGGGAACCAGATCCTGCATGTCACAACTAAAGATCCTGCATGCCACAACTAAGACCTGGCACAGCCAAATAAATAAAAATAAATTTTTAAAATAATTATATGATAACTTATGTGCTGTATATATCTTGTTCAATCGCTAAGTTGTGTCCAACACTAGGACCCCATGGGGTACAGCACGCCAGGCTTCCCATCTTTCAGTATTTCCCAGAGTTTGCTCAAATTCATGTCTGTTGAGTCGGTGATGCCATCCAACCATCCCATCCTCTGCAGCCCCCTTCTCCTGCCTTCAGTCTTTCCCAGCATCAGGGTCTTTTCCAGTGAGTCAGCTCTTCGCATCAGATGGCTAAAGTATTATAGCTTCAGCATCAGTCCTTCCAATGAATATTCAAGGTTGATTTCCTTTAGGTTTGACTGATTTGATATCCTTGCACTGCAAGGAACTCTGAAGAGTCTTAAACACCACAATTCAAAAGCATCAATTGCTGCTGCTGTTAGTATGTATTTTACCACAATAATAAAAGGCGGACACAGTGTATCTGCAGCAGACCTGAACAATAGGAAATGTTGAAGGAAATTCTTCTAACTGATGGGGAATGATACAATATGGAAACAGATCTTTATGTAGAAAGAGAACAAGAAACATTTTAGTATTAATAACTTTTTTAAAAGTCTCACTTTTTATTTTCTCCAAAAGATAGTTACAGCAAAAATAATAAAAACGTGGGTTTGTAAAGTAGGTAGAGACAAAACATGCCAACAGTGATGCAAGGGGTCACGTGAACTGTGTCTCCTGCAGGTGAGGACGCAACCTCCAGCCTGCCTCCTAGGTCAGCACCTGCGCCCGCCCCAGGGAGTTAGTGTTACTCTACTTAACATGCAGCAGTGAACACTCTGGAGTTTCTTAGCAGTGGTGGTACCAGGCAATAGAATGACCCCCGCACTCAGGCTGTGGGACAGGGTGAGCCACGGGTCATGCTGAACACTGTGTGAGACCCTTAGGCCTTGGCAAAACTCTGAGGGCAGGGTATGGGAGTTCCCAGACAATGAAATGGAATTTCCCACCAGGGGTCATGAAAAGCACATCTTTGGGCTGGTGCTGTCTTGGCTCTTGAGAATCCTGCAGCCATCACCTCCTGAATGTGCCAGGACTGGCCTGTGGGAGGATGGGCAGCACATGCCCACTTAACACCACTGACCCTCTTGACAGTCTGCTGTCTGCTATCAGGTGCTAGCTAGCCACAAAGTTAATAAACCCAGGTGATGCCACGTGGAGCAGAGGTAAGCCTAAATGTCATAATTTAGGGCAACTCATAATTTTGGGCTTCCCTGGTAGCTCAGCTGGTAAAAGTAATCTGCCTGCCATGCAGGAGACCTGGGCTCAATCCCTGGTTTGGGAAGATCCCCTGGAGAAGGGAAAGGCTACCCACTCCAGTATTCTGGCCTGAAGAACTCCACGGACTGTGTATAGTCCATGGGGTCGCAAAGACTCAGACACGACTGAGCAACTTTCACATAATTTTGACCAAACCAATGAATGTTTACCTCACTAAGTTTTAGGGTGATTTATTAGTACAAACTGATGGATTCATTGGTCTGGCATTGAACCTATTGTCTTTTGTGCCCAACAAGCTCTCTGCTCCTGGACGTCAGTCCAAGAGTGGCAGAGGGGAGAGCCCAGCCCCTGGCCAAGAGGAGGTGAGGTTTGTGGATTTGTCTCCTGGAGTTGTGAAACTAAAAACTGTAACTAGGATGTAAGTGCTGTCACAATTATCTGGCTAAAACTGACCTTGACAGTTACACTTAAAATACTTTGATGCCCATCAAGCTGGCAAAGATTAAAACAGCCTTGGGAAAAAAAAAAAAAATCTGCCCTGAGTGTTTGGGGGTGAAAGGGAAGAGACTTCACCGTTCAGTTTTTTAGGGTGTTCGCATAGCCTTTCTGAAGGGCAGTTGGCAATATATGCCAAGACTCTGAATACCTTTTGAGGAATTTCACTTTTCGAAGTCCCCCCAAAGGAAATAAGGAAACACACGCAAGGCCTTCTGAACAAAAATATCAGGTGCTGGGGGAGGGATAAATTAGGAATTTGAGATTAGCAGATACAAACTAATATAGATTAGTTTGTATATTCAATTTATTATATTCAGTAAGAAACTATATTCAATTTCTTATAATAAACCATAATGGAAAAGAATATGAAAATGTATATGTATATGAATCACTTTGCTGTACACGAGAAACTAACATAACATTGTAAATCTACTAATATAAAAAGTTTAAAAATTAAATGCTGAGTTCCTTACACGGGACAAAAATATTGAGCCTGTTTATAGCCCATTATAAAGCTTCCCTGGCGACTCAGGTGGTCAAGAATCCACCTGCAATGCAGGAGACCTGGGTTCAGTCTCTGGGTTGGGAAGATCCCCTGGAGAAGGAAATGGCAACTCACTGCAGTATCCTTGCCTGGAGAACCACAGACAGAGGAGCCTGGCAGGTTACAGTCCATGGAATCATAGAGTTGGACATGACTGAGCGACTAACCACAGGCGTGTTGACTGGCTGGGACCACTACCCCATGGATGCCCCCTTGCCTTCCGTCCCAATGGGGAGGAGCTGGAAGTGACTACAAGAGACCAACCACTGAGGACTCTCTGGGTCCCCCCATCCCAGCTGCTAACACCCACTCTACCCTCACTGCAAAGCGTGACCCTCAGAACCAGATCCTTTGGGAAGAGAAGTTGACTAGTTGCTGTTTCCTAGATGGCAACATTTCCATGAGGCTCTCAGGGGCCACGGAGGATGGATGATTGGGCATCATCACAATGTCCCGCATGCCCTAGTCCTGGGCAAACCGGGACAGGGACCCTACCAGGTGCAAAAGTCACCACCCACCCCCAGCCAAGCGATGCCTGGAGGCCAGTGGTCAGAGACTTCTGCTAGGGCAAATAAAGGGAGGCTCAAGAGCACGGGAAACCAGAGCAGTAGGGCCCCTTCCCCTGCAGGGTCACTCGGGGTGGGGCGGGACCCTGTGCCACTTCCCCAGCCCCTGCCGGCAGAAAATCCAGGGAGCCAGGCAGGGCTCAGGGCTGCTAGGGCCGTGCGGGAACCGCTGGTCACGCACCTCGACCCGGAGACCGGCTGTGAGCCTCCGCTGATCGCGCCGCACCCTTTCCCGATTCTGCCCGGCCTTCCTGCGACCTCCGCCCCTCCTGACTCCGGAGCTCCCCTGGACCCGAGGCCGCCCCGTCGCCCAGCGATCCGCTGGGCGTGGACCGCGGGCCTGCTGGATAGGCGCTGCTGCCCGACGGTCCGAGCCACAGCAGAGGGCCCGGGCCAGCCAGGGGGGCGGGGGCGGCAAGCGGGAGGAGGCCCCGCGGGGACGCAACCCGGGAGGAAAGGACTCCTGGACTTCGGTGCATTCAGCACCCCATCGGCCCCGCAGCGCCGCGCTCGTTCCCCCCGGGCCGAGCGGCTCTCAGGCGCACAGGGCCCTCCGGGCCGCCCCTTGCCCGCACGGGTTCCAGAGCTGGAGGCACGGGGCAGCGGCCGACATTGCGGCGCCCCGAGAACCCCCGTGTCACTGGGTGGAGGGCCCAGGGTGGAGTCGCCGCCTGCCGCCCCCCATACCCCTACCCCGTCCCGCGCTGAGGCCAGGCAACCCTGACCCGGCGCGCCCTGAAGCCGGATGGTCCGGGACTGGGTGGGCCCGGTGGGGCGGGAGCGCGGGTGGGTTCCTCGGGACCACTCCCCCTCCCTTCACCCCACGACTTCGCCCGCCCACTCCCCCATCTCCTTTGAGGGGTTGTCCCAGCCACTGCCTCTCGCAGCCGGTCTGGTCCTGCTCTGTTCCTCCCAGGGGCTGGGCATTTCCAGGACAGGGACCGGCCCCCACTGCCCAGCTCCCTTCAGGGTCTGGCCGGGTGCCCGCCCCACTCTGGGTGATAGAGGCCTGCGGCTGCAGTGAGCTTCTTCCTTCCAGCTCTCTCGGAGGTGCCACAGCCTCCCTGCACACAGCCCAGAGCCCCTCCCAGCCCTGGTCACATTTCCCCATCAGGCACAGTGTCCTCCCTGTCTCCGTACCCAGGGCCTGCCCAGAGTTTGCCCAGGGAGGCCTCTGTGCCCCCATGTCGCCCGATGCTGCCCCAGACTTCCTGGGGCTCCCTAGGCCCGTGATGGGGGAGGGGTTGCAGGGCCAGCCCCTCCCGCCTTCCTTCTGCTTCTTCTCTAGTGAATTCACTTCCTGCCTTTTCAGGCTGACCTCTGCCCTCAGGAGCCTGGTGACACCACCACTCACCAGCCCAGTGCCTCTTGGGTAGGCTGTTGCTAAAGAACTGAACCCCAGACTTCCCTGGCCCCCCAGCAGTTAAAATTCCTCACTTCCACTGCAGGGGCGCTGGTTCCATGATCCCTAATCAGGTCAGGGAACTAAGATTCCCCGTGAACAGGCAGCAACAACACCCTTCCATGGTGCATTCAGTCCCAGGTCACTGTCTGCGGCAGGGGGCACAGTGGAGCATGACCCCCCTGTTGCCATGGCCACTGGAGCCACCGCACTGCTCCTCTGTGTGGATGGGACCTGCCTCCTCCACCGGTCCACCCACATGGCAGCAAGTCCTTCTAGAAAAATAAACCCGGGGCCAGCCATACCCCAGCTAGAAGCCCACAACAGCTTCACCCCATACTGAAAAGGCTGCTACCCCTACCCTTGGCCTGGAACTTGACCAACTGGAGAGGTGGAAGTTAGGGGCCACTGGGAGGCTACACAGCTTTCCAGAAGCTTTGCTATGGGAACAGGGAGAAGCAGGAGAATGCCTGGTGGTCCCAGCACACACCCTACAGAATACAGGACTGCACAAAGGACACACACAGAGACCCAGGTACAAGCACACAGCACACAAAACACAGCCATAATAATACACACGCATGAACACAGACATGCGTAGACCTACATCATGCACATATACCCATACTTGTGGACATGTGCATACATGCTTACATTATATGCACACGGGAACATGAACACGCACACTCAGCCTCCTGGAGCATCCTGCCACCACCAGCAGGATGCCCTGCTCATATTGGCAAATGGGCTCCAGCGACTGGGTCAGATGTGGGAGCCCCACACCCCAATGGGTGAGGACCCATTGCCCCAGAGGCCCTCAGCAGCAGAGCTCACTGGCCTGCACTCTAGTCCCCTGATGTGGAGAGACAAACGGCCTCAGAGACCCCAGTTAGGCACTGAAGTCACCCTGCTCCCCACACCACCCCCTCCGATGGACAGTGCCTGCCTGTGTCTGCCCAGAGTTCACAGCGGCTCCAAACTTCTGCTTTCACAAGATTGCTTCCTTTCTGTTTGAATCAGCATTTCCACTTATTTGCAGCTCCAACGTTCCAAAACATACAACCCCTGCACTAGCGTCAGGGCTGATGCCAGCAGCTCTACCTGGCGGGGCCCTCATCCAGTTCACTTCAGAGCCCTCATCTGCAGGAGCACGTGGTGCCAGGTGCTGACACACAGCCACCCCGCGAGTGAGTGTGCACGGCGGAGCTTGTAGGCTGAGTCTCGGGCCAGCCTGCCGGCAGGGACCCTGGCATGAGCTCCAGATGGTCATGAGACCTAAAGGCAGGATGTGGCGGTGGAGCAGTGGAGAAGCGGGGTGTGGGGCTCCTGGGCGCCTTGCCCCGGACACGATCCACACATGGCCCAGGAAGGAAGGACATCAAGAGTCTGCACTGGGCCTGGATGTCGTCACTTGGCTTCACGTTTTCACAGTAACAGCTTTGAATATTACTGTGGTATGTGAAATATAATTCACAAACCATACAATTCACCCATTAAAAGTGTAAAACTCTGGGTGTTTAGCATATCCAGACCCGGGCAACCACCAGCACAACCAATCTGAGAACATTCCCATCACCCCAAAGACACTGTCACGCCCCTTGCCCCGGCAGCTATAACTCCACTTTCTGTTCCTGCAGGATCTGCCTGTTCTCATTTCATACACCCAGGTCCTGAGAGCTGTTCTCCTGCGTGCCTGACTTCTTACCTTGGCGTAACGCTCTGAGGTCCATCCACGCTGTGCTGTGTGTCAGAACTTCCTCTACGAGGCTGCACACTGACCGCTCCATCGTGTGTGTTTGACCACGTTGTTTGTTCATGCCTCCATAGGTGGACATTTTCCATAGATGGACATTTGCAGTGCATCTTGGCTGTTAAGAATAACGTTGTGAGAGCATTCATGTGCAGGTTTCCGCATGAACATGTTTTCATTTCTCTTGAATGCACACCTAGCCGTGGAATGGATGAGCCTATGGTAGTTCTCTGTTTAACTTTTTGAGGAACTACCAGACTGTTTTCCACGGGCGCCTGCACCCTTTTACAAGCCCAGCGCTGTGTGCTGCCCGATTCCTCCAGGTCTTCTCCCACACTTTTTATTCCCCTGTTATATTACAGTTAACCTATGGGTGTGAGGCAGCCTCTAACCTTGCTTTGATTTGCATTTCCCTGACGCTAATGACCTGAGCCTCCTCTTCGGAGCTCACTAGCCATTTGTACACTTTCCCTGAAGAAATGTTTTTTCAGACCCTTTGCCCTGGCCCTGGGGTTTTAGGAGAAAAGGATCAAAGAAGCTCCTCTCGGATGGAGGCTGTGGGGGGTGGGGTAAGAGTCGCTCCCGCCCCCACCCCCTGCACCCCCACTCCTAGCCGGGCCACGGGGCGGGCTCACCAGGGGCGTTTCCGGCTCCTCTCAGCGTCACGGAGGTTTCACTTTTGGGTCTGGGAAACTTCAGGCTGTGTGCGCGCTGGGCAACTCCAGGACAGAGGCTTCCAATCCTGGCCCTCAGGGCAGCCTGGCTTCTGCTTTGTGGGCACAGGCACGCGACGGTCACGGTCACTGGTGAGCTGCCCCTGCCCGTGCCCTGCGCCGCTGCACCCCGCAGGGGCTGCCTGCCCTGGCTCCGGGGTGGGGCACTTGCTTCTTCTGGGAGTGACTGGGGGGGAGGCCAGCAACTCTGGGTGGAGATTGGGTCCTGTCACCTTCCTTGGGCTTCCCCAAGCCCCCCAGGACTCCCCTCATCAGACCAGCTGGGGAAGCCCCAGGCCTCTGGGAAGGGGGCTCCCTCCCAAGTCTGACTGGTTTGGGCTTAGCTCCAGGCAGGCACCTCCAGGTGCCCCTGGGCCCACTCTGGGATCTCAGGCCAGTGCCAAGGCTTAGAGGCTTCCTGCAGCCCAGACGTCCTGGGTCCTGAGTCAGGCCTGCAATGGCTCCTGACCCCTGAAGGTGGTGTGTGACTCACACACCAGATAAGTGACTCACGGAGCTCTGGGTGTTGAGGAAGCCCTGGAGGACAGGCCTAGGGGCTGGGGATGCTTGGGCCAGGCCTTGCCTGGGCCTTCGCACCAACTGCCCAGGAGGCGATGGCTTCTGCTTCCTCCCTGCTCTCTGAGCACCTCGGCCAGGAAGGCAGCTGCTAAGGCAGACAGAGCCCCAGCCTCTCCCTGCTCTTCCTCGGTGGCTGCTTTTCGTGAGCAGCCTGAAGCCTTGTTGAAGTAGCAAAGTGATGGAGGGCTTGGTGGGCGGCCAGGGCTGCCCCCTACCTGACAAGTGCTGCGTTCCAGGGCTTTCCTGGGCTTCACGTGGGCACTCTGGCCACAGGACAAGATGGTGTGTGTGGCTGGCTCGAGTCCCACGGAGGGCTGCGAGTGACATCCAGCCTGGAAGCGCTTGGGGATCCTTGCAGAGATGGACAGTGGGTGACAGGCTCGCACTTGGAGGCGAGCATCCCAGGCCTGGCCAGGCAGGACTGCCTCGGAGACACTTGAGCAGCTACCTCTCCGCTCTTCCCCTCCCCTGCCCTCCTCCAGCCCTGAGGGTGGAAGGCCAGACCAGCTGCCCTCCTCAGGAGCATGGCATCGGCCTTTGAGAAGGTGGTCAGGAGTGTGGTCCGGGAGCTGGACCACAAGGAGCTAACCCCTGTGGACAGCCTGCGGAGCTCCGCCAGCTTCCAGCCCTACAGCCTTTTGAGCAGGAAGCCCTTGAGCTCACGGTTCTGGAGACCACGCTACATGTGTGTCAACTTGTCCATCAGGGACATCCTGGAGCCCGACATGCCGGAGCCAGGTACCCAGCCGGCACTGAGTCCGAGCCATGGGTGGGCGGAGGGGTGGGCCAGCCGGCTCCCACTCGGGCCCCTGGGTTCTGTCTGCAGAGGCCCCTCGGCCAGGCGGGACAGGCAGCGGCCGGTGGGCGGGGCCTCAGCTCTGCTCTCGCTCCAGCCCTGGAGTGTGGTGGCACCTTCCAGTTCCAAGACACGATGGACGGGCAGCTGCAGGGCAGCATGAAGCTGGCAGCCCCAGGACAGGGCAGGCTCTCAGGCGGGGCCGCGGTGTCCGGCAGCTCCAGTGCCTCGATGGACCTGTGCACTCTGAGAGTGGCCCCCAACACCTGGGAAGCCATGCACCGCGAAAGGTGAGCCCCAGGGCTGTGGACCCGCTGACCCTGGGCAGATCCTGGGTCAGGACCTCGGGGCGGCAGCAGTCATAGGGTGTCTGTGAAGGCTGAGGGACATCCCAGAGTCAGGGACCGTGAGGGGACCAGCGGCTGGGAAGGAGGCTACCAAGGTCCTGGGGGCCTGCATCCTGCAGGTCAGGGGGCCAGGGGTCAGACTGAGCCCTGCTGCAAAGAGGCTGGGGTAGAACACACACAGGGACCTTGGTGAGAAGGACCATTAGCTCAGCACACAGACGTGAGATCTGAACCCAGGGAGTGGAGGGAGACAGCAGACAGGTGAGCAGCCAGCCACAGAGTGGGCCCCTCCAGAGGCCCGCTTCTTCCTGCCCCCCGTCTGCCCACAGGCACTGAAGCACCCAGGGGATGGGGCGATAAGGGTCCCGTGCCGGGGCATCCACATCACCCCATCCATGGCCACAGACACTGAGGTCCGGGGAAGGGAAGGCCATCCTGGGGCAGGGGGAGGGGAGGGCAAGGCACACCCTGCAAGCCTCCCACTGGCCCACTCACCACAGACGCCTGCGGCAGCCTGAGCCCAAAACCCTGCAGCAGTTGCGGAGTCGGGGGGATGACGTGTTCGTAGTGACCGAGGTGCTGCAGACACAGAAGGAGGTGGAGGTCACCCGGACGCACAAGCAGGAGGGCTCAGGCCAGTTTGCACTTCCGGGAGCCCTCTGCTTGCAGGTGGGCGGCGAGGGACCTGCACTGGACACAGCGGGGGAGGCAGGAGGGCAGTGTCCCCACGCAGACCCCTGCCACCAGCACCTGGCTGCCCCAGGCCCCACCGGGTGGTGGGGAGCCCAGTCCTGAGCCCACATCCATCCCTCAGGGCAAAGGCGAGGGCCACCTGAGCCGGAAGAAGATGGTCACCATCCCCTCAGGCAGCACCCTCGCATTTCGGGCAGCCCAGCTGGTTATTGGCTCTGACTGGGGTGAGCCGGGGTCCGGGTGACTTCTGGGGCCCAGGCTCCGTAGTAGAGGCGGGGAGGCCTGGAAGAGTCACCGGCTGCCTGGGGGTGCTGGGGACATCTGGTGGCATGACTGTGGGCCGGGGTGGCTGAGAGCCACTTGTTCAGGCAGGTGGGAGGTCAGGGCACAGAGCGGGGACTGCACAGGGAGCCCCAGGTGGGCCAGGGAAAGGCCAGGTGTTCCGCCAACCTGCCTCCCCATCTCTGCCCCTCCCGGCTTCCAGACATCCTCCTCTTCCCAGACAAGAAGCAAAGGACCTTCCCGTTGCTGCAGGCAGGTGAGGCCCATGCACCTGGGAAGTGGGACAGGCTGATAAGGAGAGCCCAGCACAGCACATCTGGGAGACACACACACATGTGCACGCACACATGCACACACTAGTGCAAATGCACACACACACACCCATGCAAACACACATGCACACTCACGCATATACATACATGCAACATGCATACTTGTGTGCACAAATGCACACACACACACATACATGAGCAACACACACACAGTTGTGCAAATGCACACACACACGTGGGTAGCATGGCGACAGGCTGGCACCAGGCAGATTTGACCTTGCTCCTTGCCCCAGGCTGCCAGGACTGGGGTAACAAGCTGTGAGGGCCCAGGGGAGGCCTCAGCCCTCTCTGGCTCGGGCCCCCGCCCCCAGCACTGACCAGCCCCGCCTCGCCCAGGCCACAGGCCCTCCAGCAGTGCAGACGGCCATCCATGTTCGTGCTTCAGCTTTGCCTCCATAAGGGCCCTCTCTGACTACTTCCAGTTCCAGTCGGGTCAGTACCTTCTGGGCCACCCTGGGGCCCCTGCTCCCCTTTTGCCCCCAGCATCTGCCCTCCCTTACTAGGGCTCCTGGGGCCACGTGGGCACCTGGGCAATTGCAGACCTGTCCCCACAGATGGGTCCATGGAGCACTGGCTGGCGACCACTGATGGCTTCCAGGGCCTGCGGGCAGAGGTGGAGGCCTGGGCCATGGGCCTGGAGGGCTTGTCCAAGGGGCCATGTGGGCAGCTGCTGGGTGGCCTGGGGCAGGTGCTATGGGACGAGCCGGCTCTGCAAGCCCTGGAGGAGTCGGTGAGTGAGCTGGGCTGTGCGTGCGGGGCATTAGGGGGTGGGGTAGCATGAGAGCTGGGTGGGGTGGTGGAGCAGATACCTGCCCGCCCTGCTCACCCCCATCCCCCGGGCGCCCCCACCTGGAGCAGGGCCTATCCCGCCCTGCTCACCCCCACTCCCCCTGGGTGCCTCCAGCTGGAGCAGGGCCTGTGCAGTGGGCAGGTGGAGCCACAGGATGGCCCGGTGGGCACCATCCTCGAGTCCCTGGTGCTGTCCTCTGGACAGCTGGAAGCAGAGCTCGCAGGCCCCGTCTTCTACCTGCTGCAAGGGCTAGCAGGTAAGGGGCTGGGGAGGGGCAGGGAAGGGGCAGGGACGTGAGCTCCTCTGGCTGGCCCCTGGAAGCCCTCTCACCCAAGGTCTCTCCGCAGCGCTGAGTGAAGCCCAGCACGTGCTGCTGGCTAAGGTGCTGGAGACGGGGGCCCTGTTGGGGACCTTTCGGCTGGTGAGAAGGCCAGGGTGTAGGGGAGGGGTGGGCCGGTGTGGTGTCCAGTGCCCGGCGATGGGGTGGTGTGGGGGGGTGCCCGATCCTCTGACCGCTCCCACCCTGTCTGCCAGGTGGAGAGCCTTGTGGAGCAGAGCAGCCCGTGGCAGGAGCGCCAGGCTGTGTCCCTGCCGCCCGAGTGCCTGGGCGACAGCTGGGGCTCAGAGGCGCCCGCCTGGACCCTGCTGGAGGCGTGCGGCCTGGAGCCCCAGGTGGCCGCCCCCCAAGTGTGCTGGGAGCCGGAGGCCTGCAGCTGTGCGTGCGCACTTTACGCCTGCCTGGCACTGCTGCTCAGGCTGAGCCGGCTCTGCTAGCCTGTGGCACCCCCGCCATAGGCACAGCTCGCACCCACTGGCTGCCAGGAGCCACACCCAGCTGTGTGGGCGGCTCTTCATAAGACCTGGGGGATGGGGACAGCCAATAAATGGGACTAATGACACACACAGGGAATGACGCACTGAGCTTTCGAGGAGCCCTCTATCAGGGGTCGGGGGCCCAGTGGGGGGTGCCTGCACAGGACGGGGAGGGACCTGGGGGCCAGGAGCAGGCACCAGGGGCCTTCCGGGTGCTGGACCTGGCCACTCCGGAGCGACCAGCCATGTGGCCAGGCTCCTCCCCGCCCCTGCCCCCCCCATAGCAGGCTGGCCTGGAAAGGACAGGGCAAGGCAATGCCAACCCCCAGGACTGTTCTCTGTCCACCTCAGGAAGCCTGAGAGCATCCTGATGTTCTGATGCAGGCAGTGGGCCGCCCTCCCTCTGCAGGGGGGCAAGAACACGGCGCTAACAGACAGGCCTGCACTCCTGGGGCTGCATTACTCGAACCAGAGAAACTGGCCTTTGGGGTGTGTCTCATCCAAATTCATTCACTCAAAGGTAAGAGTCTATCGAGAGGAGAGGAGACCTCCCGGCCCTGAGCCGTGGTCCCTGGGCCTTGCCGGGCACAGAGAGGTGGTGACTGACTCAGCCAGGCAGTTACTCTCACCCTGGAGTTGTCACAACCTGGAGAAACTTGTGGGAGCCAGTCTGCGGTCCTCCTCTTGGTGGAATGCGAGGGAAGCCATGTTCCCTTCCTGTCCGGCTCGCCGCTGCCCTGCAGCCCCAGGACTGACTAAACAGAAAGGACAAGAATCCCTGGTGGTCCAGTGGTTAAGGACTCAGCACTTCCACTGCTGGGGCCTGGGATCGATTCCTGGTTGGGGAACGAAGATCCCACAAGCAATGTGGCCAAAAAAAATAAAGAGAAGAGGTGGTCAGCCCAGCTGTAGCTGGGACATTAACCTCTGAGAACACTCAGGATTGAGGTTGACAGTAAAATTAGTATTAAAACAGAGTGGTCCCTAAACATCCCAGATCCCAGTACCGAAACACTTAGCAATTGTCCCCTCACCCAGGGCAAGGGAGAAGTTGGATACCTCCCAGGCCTGTTTGTGTTCCCCGGAGCCCAAGCTCCTCCTTTGGGAAACCTTGCTAGGGCACTGAAAGGCATGACCAAGGCGAACAGGACTGGAGCAGCGCAGGTCTGAGAAAGCGGCAAGTAAGCGGGCCCACCAGCCCTGCTTCTGGGGCCCCGAGACGCTCCCTGCAAGGTCAGGCGGTGAACCGGGTCTGCTGAGCCCCACCCAGATGCCCTTTGGAGGGTCTCAATGTTGGCCCTCAGGCTCCAGGGTCGCCAGTGCCCGGAGGTCTCCAGTGACAGCTCATTTGGGAGCATCTAAGCATCCTCTGTGTAAAGCAGCGCGCCCCGACCCTAGACCTTGGGGGGAGGTGAGCACTCTGTGGGCGGCTCTGCTGGGCCTCACTGACCAACAGCATTCACCCGGGAGCGGGGCTCACCCGGGAGCAGGCCTATGGTGTTGCCGCCCTGACTGGAGCCTCCCTGGGGACTGCACCGCAGAAATCCCTGAGAAGCGTCCCACTCCCAGGACAAAGCGGCAAGCAGGGTGTCTGGTGGGGCCCCGGCTACAGGGCAGGGGACGCCCTCATGGGGGGGCAAGTGCACACAGCACTGAGCATGCGGGGGCACATGCACTCCAGATGGCCAGTGGAGTGGAGGGGAGTGGAGGGGAGTGGGTGCCCAGGCCAGAGAGGCCCAGGCCCTGCAGGGAGGCATGGGAAGAGGCAGGGTGCTGCCTGCCGAGCCCCCCATGAGGCTGGGCCCTGCTTTCCAGCGGGCCTTGCTGGGGGCTTTGCCCAGCCATGCCCTGTGGTTGGGCAGGCTCATGCCTGGTGGAGGCAGCGGGCCTCAGACGCTCCCCCAGCTTCTGGCTCCAGGCTGCAAGCCCCTGAGGGGCCCGACCATCAGGTGGCTGGGGGGGTCCTCCCACCACCTTTTGGGCAGCATGGAGGGGCCGCAGGGCCGGGACCTGGTGCCTCCCTGAGGGGGTCCGGCTGGAGACCCCCGAAGACATTCTCACCAGCCTCCCTTCCTCTGCCTCCCAGGTTCTGACAGCCTCCTGACCTCCCCAGCACGTCCCCGCATGTTTCCCATAGTGTAATCCAGTTTTGGCATTCCCCTTGGAGAATCGCGGACTAATACACCAAACTATGCCCCTGTCTTCTCACAGACGAGTGCCCTTGGCCAGGGCCTCCCCTGCCCTCAGAGTGACCAACGAGGAGACCCTGGCCCCTCCTTGCTGAGCTCTGACTCTGCTCAGGGTCTGTGTGGGCAGCATAGCTTCTCAGTCAGGGCAAAGCCTGCCTGACTCTGCCCAGGGCTGACACAAGCCCCAGCCACATGCTCAGTTCAGTTCAGCTCAGTTCAGTCGCTCAGTCGTGCCTGACTCTTTGCAACCCCATGGACTGCAGCACACCAGGCCTCCCTGTCCATCACCAACTCCCGGAGCTTGCTCAAACTCATGTCCATTGAGTCGGTGATGCCATCCAAACATCTCATCCTCTGTCGTCCCCTTCTCCTCCCGCCTTCAGTCTTTCCCAGCATCAGGGTCTTTTTGCATCAGGTGGCCGAAGTATTGGAGTTTCAGCTTCACCATCAGTCCTTCCAATGAATATTCAAGACTGATTTCCTTTAGGATGGACTGGTTGAACCTCCTTGAAACCCAAGGGACTCTCAAGAGTCTTCTCCAACACCACAGTTCAAAAGCATCAATTCTTCAGCACTCAGTTTTCTTTATAGTCCAACTCTCACATCCAGACATGACTACTGGAAAAACCATAGCTTTGACTAGATGGGCCTTTGTTGGCAGCCACCTGCTGCTTTCCCTGTAATTTTAGCCCAAGCCTGATCTTGGACCAGGCGCAGCTCATCAGAGCCCAGCCTTGGCCCAGACAGACACTGAACCCCTAGGATCTATGTTTTTCATTTTGGCTGCACCATGCGGCATGTGGGATCTTAGTTCCCTAACTAGGGATCGAACCTGTGCTCCCTGCATTGGGAGTACAGAGGTTTAACTGCTGGACCACCAGGGACATCCCGCTGTATCTTTATTTTAAATGCTTTCCATTGGGATGGGCAGGACCCCAGCCTCCAAGAGGCTGTGTGAGTGGAGGCCTCCATCTCTGAGGAGGCAGCTTTGGGGGCCCTGAAAGGGCAAGAGGACACCTCAAGGTGGGCATTCCAGGTGGCAGAAGCCACTTGTCCTGGGTCTGGAGAGCCTGGGTCACTGCTTCAGAGCAGTCCCGAGGGACTTCTTCCATCACCCGGCCCTGAGCAGGTGCTGGGATGTGGGTGCGACAGTTCAGCCTGGTGAGGGGCAGATGCTGGCACTCCACACCTGAGCCCGCAGGTATCATCTCAGACCTGTGATGTCCAGTGGGAGGTCAGGGGCAGCCTCCAGAGAAGACCCGGGAGGGTCTGAGATGGTGAGCTAGAGGGGAGGGGCAGGAACAGGGCCAGGCTACTCGGCAGTGGGTGTGGACAGGCGGACGGACGGATGCTTCTTGAGCAGGGAGGGTGTGGCCAGAAACCTCAGAACCTCCCAGCCAGCATGTGGCCAGCAAGGAGTGGAGCACATCAAGGGGGCTGACTAGCGGCCGCGAGGGCCAGAGGCAGCCTTTCACGGGGCTGGCTTCCGGGGTGGCACCCACTTCCATGTCCCCACCTGGCCTGGGCCCAGAAGGCCAGGCGCCATCCAGGCAGGGCACACACCGGGGGGCTGGGAGAGGAACAGGCCTGCTGGAGGACAGACGGACGGAGGGATGGATGAGGCGAGAAGCTGAGGGTGAAGGTGCTTCGTCAGAAACTCGTGGTCCATCTAGTCACAGGGTGGTCGGGGTTGGGGGTCATTGTGTGCAGCAGACTATGCAGAGCCCCGACGGGGTCGGGGACGGGGACGGGCTCTGGTGCCCAGCACCATGCCCAAGGTGCCCCTCAAAGCGGACCTCTTCTGCAGATCTGCCCCCCGGCCAAGACAGGCCACAGAGCAGGGAGCCTGAGTCAGCACCCTGGCCCCCATCGGAGGGCCAGCCGGTCAGTTCAGCCTGGACCTGAGCAGCCCCAGCGGCCGGGGAGGCTGCAGTGCTGAAACGGGCTGTCGGCGTAGACGGGCGGGGGCCGGGCCGGCAGGCAGCTGGGTCGGCCGGGGCGGGGGAGGCGCCAGCCACAGGGCTGGGGCTGCACGCGGGCCAGCAGCGCCACCTGCTGGCCAGACACACGTGCTGCTGCCGCCACCGCAGGCTCAGGGTCACTCTGCAGCCTCCCCAAGTCTGTGGGAACAGGGCAGTTCATGTGGCGGGGGGAGGGGCTCTCCGGCTGTCCCCCACACATCCCAGTCCCCTACCCATCCACTTTGCCCTGGCAGCCACCACCTCTCTGGAACCCTGCGGAACCCCACGAGGGCGAGCCGGGCTCTCACCCTGGAACAGAGACTCCAGCAGGTCCTGGTTGGCGTGGCTGGGGCTGGAGTGATGGACCAGGAAGCCTGGAGCAAAGTGAAGCCCTGAGTGCTGGCCCTGGGCCCGCAGCAGCAAGGGGCTGCGCCCAGAACCCTGGGTGCAGGGAGCAGCGTGATGCCAGGCCTGCCTCACCTGTGAGTAGGGTGGCCGCCAAGCGCAGGGGGCTCTGAGGGCTCCGCAGGTAGCCCTGGGTCTGACTCAGGAAGCTGGGCACGTGACTCGGGTACCACTGGACCTGGGGACAGAAGGGCTCCTGGGACAGGAGGGCCAGCTCTGCGTGGAGCGGAGGCCTCAGAGGTGAGGCCAGGGCCCAAGGGCCTCTGAGGCCTCGACGAGCCACCACCTTGACCGGAAAGGTGAGGAGTCTCAGTCTGGGGGGGGAGTGGCCCTGGTGTATACTGGACCAAGTGGGCAGCTGACTGCACCCCGTCATTCTCACCAACCCCCCAACTGACCAGGCGGT